ACACACACACACACACACACACACGGTTGATTGTTTTGGTCAGGGTTTTGTGCATTGGAGTTGGGTGGCTAATAAATTCAAATAAATAAAAAATATTTCAAAAAAATAAAAAATAAATCAATATTTGTAAAGGAAATGTGTGCGATAAGGTTAACAGAGACTAAGCATCCTTATTTTGCCTGTTTCCGTGGGGCAGAGGAGGGTGACCTCTCAATCATCCCAGCTCTGAAAGGAATGAATACATTCCATGTATTTCTATATTCTTGCTTTGACTTATTTGCTTTTATTTTCTTCTACTTACTTGTCCCCAATATTCAATCTTGGGGGCTTTATGCAATGCTTCGTTAAAACCTCTAGATGTGCGATTTGGTAACATACAGTTCAGATCTTTCCCTTGCAATCACTAGAAGCTCAGCCTCTAAATGGCACTTGGATTCATCTTGACTTACAGCTGAGATAGGGCATGAAAACAGTTGCAGTGGGAAAACTCAAATATATCTAAACTGGAGAAGAAAAGACCTAGATGAGCAAAGGTGGGACCCAAAGACATTTTTGAAACATGAAACAGAAGCGGACAGCCCTCCAGCTCCATTTTTCCATTCCTTGAACCTCCCCAAGATTATCTGCAAAAAGGAGTCAGTTCTGTTTATTGCAATATATAACAAATAAATACAATTTGGAGGCAAAAATGTGATTTGGGGGCATTTTCGCAAAATTCACAGGTAGGATTAGGTGAAACCTCATTAGTTTAAATATGAGAAGGTGGCTTTTAGGTGAAGATTAGAAGAAAATGTGGAGTTCTTGGGGCTTTCTGACCTTAGATGTTTGCTTGCAGACATTTCATTACCCAACCAGGTAACATCATCAGTGCCAGAAACATCTTAGAAGAAACTTACTTTGTTTAGAAGAAACTTCTTTGTAGGTGAGAGAATGTTAGAAGAGAACCAGAAAGAAAAGGCTCTTTCAAGCGGGTCTTCAGATTCACACCCCATGCAACTTCTGTATGTCAGCTTGGTGATATCATACAGCAGTTTTGTTTTTTTGAAAATCTCTTTAACCTAAAGAACATCTTCACTTTTAAAATATAAACTTGCAGAAGAAACAAATATGGACCACCTTTTCCCAGTTTCTTCTGCCCAACCCACCAGATCGGGGAGGCAGGGTATGTTATAGGTCCCCGCTATTAAGGAGGTCCATCTAGTGGGGCCGAGAATGGCCTTCTACATGGTGGTTCCCTCCCTGTGGAACATCATCCCCGCAGAGATAAGACTGGCCCCGTGATGCTCTTCTGCAAGGCCCCGAAGACATGGTTTTGCCAGTGGGCCTGGGGATCCCAGGTCGATACGGAGCCCATCAAATGGCTAGCGTGTGGTGGCCAGGGGCATGGGGGTGGGCGTAATGGGTTTTGTATTTGGGATTTTTATTCCTGTAAGCCACCTGGAGTCACCATGAGTGAGTTGGGTGGCCATATAAATTGCTTAAATAAATAAAATAAATAATTTGAAGGAGCAGAACCTTCAGCAATGTGTAGCTGAAACAGACTGGGTCATGATCTTTGGACTGAGAACTTAAGAGTTCTCAAAGTTGTCTAGTTTTGCTAATGAAATATTGGAGAGTCAGACATGTGAAGTAGTTAGTGCTACAGTTTCTAAGTGGCACCATACCAATGCTTTGATGGCAAATGCAGGACCCACTGCAACTGCTTTCATATCTCACCAGGCCTGGTTCTTAATTCTTCAGTACAAGTTCTTCGATACTTCTCTGGAAGGATCATCCATCCTGGGTTCTGCTTACAATTCATTGAACAGACATTTGGTGTAATGGTGAAGACCAGGGAAGTTGCAGATCCACTTTCAGTTTATTGGATAACCTTGGGTGGGCAACCATCTCTCAGCTCAACCTACTCACAGGGTTGATTTATAAGGGGAAAATGGGGAGGAGGAGTACTAGTATGTACCCTATCTTGAGCAGCAATGAAAGACAGACTTAAAACTAATGAATAATAAAACTCCATCTTTTTCTTCAAGGTGATCAGGCAGTGAACATTTGAAACTCAAAATGTTTTTCATGTGATAGGTTAAGCTTTCAGAAAAAGGATTGACACCAGTATGACCCAGCATGCTTCACAGACCATATGGGGATCTGATTCTCTCTCTCTCCTGACAAAATCGGGTGTTTTAGCTGAACTACAATTTTAGTTATAGGTTGTGATATTAAAAACTTTTGTGAAGACAAACTCTGTTGTTGTTTGTTTCCAGGATCCCCTTTGCGATGTTACACTTGCCTCTTTCCCACCATCTCCCCACTGGATTGCTTGAAGTTTGCCACGCTGTGTGGCCCATCACAGAAGTGTCTCACATCCGTGGCGAAAGGTCACAGAGGTGATGCTGCAATGGTTCTCATTGTTTTTGCAAAATGTTTAATGCTTTCATTCCATTCTCTCAAAGCCCAGGAAAGAAAATGTAAGGTGGGGCAGGCAGGAACACCGAACCTAACCTCACCCCTTTGCTCTTTCTGCTTGAGAATTCCGATTGGGTCAACACAAATGGACATCAGAAAGATACCTGAGAAATGGGAGACAGATCAAATGCTCAGGGAAATCCTAGTACTACTAGAAAGATCAGGTCAAACTCGTATCCAATGAAATGGAAAGGGGATGATTGGACATGCATGGAATTTGTAATGATCTTCCATCTGGCCTTGACTCCCATTTCTCTCTCCCAGGTGCCCTTGAACTGGTAATTCATGAGAAGACCTGTGGGGATCCTTCCATGTGTGGAGCCCATGGCATTCGAACCATATTGGGAATCAATTTCACCTACAGCACTTTCTGCTGCTCCACCGACCTGTGCAATGGGGTTACTGGGGAGTTCAGTAACTTCTGGAAGCTGATCTTCACCCCATTTTTGTTCATCCTGGTCTACCTCTGTTGAGACAGTCATCCCGAAAGCAGCCTCATTTAGTGGTATGTGAAGGCACTACAGCCCGTCACTCTCTATGGTTACAATCTCTGTTTAACTCTGTAGACCTGGGAGCCCCAGAATGCTATAGGGGGATCTCCTTTCCTTTTCCTTCCCTTTCTTTAGATAATTTCTCAATGTTGCAGAGGGAAAATAAAGAATTGTTAATCTGCCTGATTCTACTGACTTTGCATTAAAAAGGAGAAGGAAGAGCTAAGACGGTAAAGGAACAGAAAGAGATTGCTATCCCTTCTATTTATTGCATTTCACTGCCCTTATCATAATTTTACTGTCTAAATATGGAGCGTAAACAAATTTATTCATCAAATTTGCATGCTGCCCAACTCCCAACAACTCTGGGAGGGGCAGGGACCTGTTTTATAGGTTTAGTGTTTACTTATATCACAGTTTAACATAATGGACTGATGGTGGTTTACTACTAAGTAATAAAAATGGAGGCGTAATCTGAGAATTACCACAAGTTTAAGGACACTGATCCAGTCAGTGATCTAGCATCCAATAAAGAGGTGAAATAATTGTTCAGGAAGGGAATCCAAAATCCACAGCAATCTTTGTTGACCGATAAAATCAATGCAAGGTTTCAAGTGTGTTTCATCAGACAAAAGGGTTAGAAAAAATGAAGGGGGATGAGGCTGGTCAAGAGCCTTCAGACATGCATGTCAAGAAAAATTTAAAAGAATAGATTGTACTAAGGCTTTCTCAAGCTTGCTGGGAAGAGAAAACAAGTTCTCCACTTCAAAAAACATAAATTCCAGCTGTTCAAGCAAACTGTAAGATACAAAGATCCCTTGATTGGTGGAAAACAGAAATCAACAAGGGCAGTCTTTTAGATTAGCGAGCATGGATATTATCTGATTTTTTATACTGAGCAAATCTCCAAAAATATACTTGACATTGCAAAAATAATTACCCAAGATGCTTTAGGTCAGCCTTTCTCAACCTCTTTTCTTCCAGACAGTTCCCATCATCCCAAGATGTTAGGGCTAAAGTCCATAGGAAATAGTAGAATTATCATTCAAGAATCCAAAGATTCCAGGCTGTGGGAAGCTGCTTCAGTGATATCTGATTACAAACAAGATTGGAGTTACTGGCTGACTTCTAGCTAAGATGCTATAAATTTAATAGTATTAATTATCACAACAGTCTTTGTAAGACAGAGAAAACTTGTTGGGCAGGTAATGAAAACCATCCCCTGAAATTGACAACATGAATGCTTTCTAGGGGACATTTTAAGGAAACCATGTTCTTAAGGCTTTAACTATAAAATATATTACAGCCTGTAACTGATTTTTTTCCCCAGTTATAGCCAGAGGGTTCAGTGGGAAGCATCACAGATCAGTTCTGACCTGGGTCACATATATTTAATGTTCCCTTCAACCATAAAGTTTTTGTTGAGGAGAACCAGGCTCAACTCCTGGTGACTTCATGACGACGTTTGCACACTTGGCAACTACGTTGGCAACAGTATGGAAGTGGATTGCTCTTGCTTTCTTCTAGGAGATGTTCTGACTTCCGGGCCTACCCTACAGATCTGTCGTTCCCTGGTGGTCTCACATCCAAATACGCAACAGGCCCAAACTTGCTTAACTCCTGAACTGTCAAAGCAACATTGCCTGTTTTTCTGGGCATCAAGCATGAAATGTTGAATAACCTAAAAGGCAGGATTCGTACATAGCTTGTGCCATCTGGTCTGCAGAATTATCCAGGGGATATCTCATCACTACAGAGGCAAGCCAATATTCCTGTGGTGGCCACAGTATCATGCAACAACTTATAATTATTTTCCCCTTCTTTGGGCAGGGTACAGGTAAAACATTAAACTTCATGTTTTTAAAAACACGTATTTTTATTTTATTCTTGCTCATATTTAAATTCAAATCATTTTGTCCCTCCAGAAAACAGACCTTCCCCCTGTGCTGGCTCCAGCTGCCAGACACAAATACATATGTTAAAATACCCTTTGATGAGCCCAAACCCAAGAATCCCTGCCAGGGAATCCCTGTGTCCCTTTTCCATGTTTCGAAGTTTACTACTTCAAAGCTTTGGCAACCAGCTCATAAGCTAATTCAATTTCTTCGTCATCTGGGCAGGTGCTGGCAAATTCCTCGCGGGCGTATGCATTCTTGAGATAGCGATGGATGCCAAGAAATTCCTCGGGAATAGTAAAGTTACGGTATTTCTTGCAAACCACCTGTTGGGGTTGTAAAACCATACATTATTTGCAACTTCAACGTATTGATCCATCAGGCTTATGTACATTCTGCAAGGAGGGACTTGGCAGTTGCATTGAATTCAGACTCCAAAGAGTCTTAGCTTTAATGAAGAGCAGCGTTCCGCTCATATGACTGCTAAAATATGCTGAGAGTGACATCTCAGCTAAGAGAGACCTGAAAAGATTTGGGGAAAATCACAGTGGTATGCAATGGTCAGACCTGAAGAGGGCTTTGAATCTGATGGGAACCCTGTCTTTGTCAACTGCTTCTCACCTCCTCCTGGCCTCACACAGATGCTGCATGACCTCAGGAAAATATGCACTGGAGTTAAGGACACAGCAACATGGGGTTCTATTCTGTTGCTGCCTCCTTAACTCAAATGCATATTTTCCTCACCAAACCCAGGCCCAGGAAAAGGCATAGCTTTAAGGAACAGCTGAGAGATGGAGAAAGGGTGCCCACACCAAATATGAAGTACCCTTGCCACTTCCGATCTGAATACGGCAGTCATAAGGCAGAGTTCAAATGCTCTGTGCCTTCCTGTATAAAACCAGAAGTTATGAAAATGAGACCAAAGTGTCATTCTTCCAGCATTTTTTCCCCAAGTAGATACCTCTATGCTTCTGGGAAGCTTACAAACAAGATGTGAAGGAAATCACCCCCTTCAGCTCCTGTTCCCCATAATACTTCACAGGCACCCTGTCTCTGAAAAAATTTTCACCTTGACAATATGAAGCTTGGGCAGCAAATTGCAGTCCGCCAACGTAAGTTCATTTCCATCAAGAAATTTGCGGTTGGACTGGCCTTCATCTTCTGCGCTGTTCTCGTCCACCTCTTCGGGGAGCGGTGTCATCAAATAAACGTCCAGCACCTTCAGTGCTTTCAGCAAACCCTTCTCAAGGTCTAGGAAGTGAAGAGTGGTGCAGGAAGGAAGAGAAATAAGAGGTACCAATGAAAAATCCAAAGGAGAAGACCACACAGCTGGAAGGATTCAACTGGTACTGAATTGGTACTGAAAACCTCAGGAGGTTTAGAAGAGGGACAAGGGAGATACAGAGATAAAAGAGAGGAAGCCAGCAGTATCTGCAATGGTCTGTGGGAATGACCTAGGGAGACAGGAGGAAGAGCCTCCGTCTAGACAAGGAGCTGACAAATGAAATTTGAGTCCAAAGGAGGAGGGGTGGCGAAAACAGCTCAGAAGGGACCCTACCTAGTTTTTGGGAGGGTAAAAGAGAAGGACGGGAGGGGTACTTTCAGACTTGCAAGATTCTGTTCGTGTAACCTTACAATAAAGATAGAGCTAGTACTCCTGGGTGTGCTTCTTGGCTGGACTACCTTGCAAGGTTGACAGTATCCAAGAAGAAAGCAAATAGGGCCAGCGAGATTTAAGATACAGAACTAGAAAACAAGAAGAAAATTAGTGAGAGGGCAGGACCAGGACCAGGACCAATTTCATCTATAGGATTTTTTTGGGCCATAGCAGCCAGTAGGAAACCAGGGATAATTAAGTGGTGGACAATTATAATCGGTTTCTTTTTAAAAAATTGTTCTTCTTGTTTTTAATGGAAACTGCCCAGGGTCATTTGCGGTTGGGTAGCTTCTCAACTGTATTAATCTTAAAAAACCAAGAAAAATAACATCAAAGAAAAAGATTTAGTTAGTAAAAATTAAAGACAACAGGTCATAAAAACAGAGAAATAATTGACAGGTGATTTCACAGATCAAAGTGAAGTCAAGCACAAAGAAAGTTACATTTCACACCAATGAGAATGGAGTCGAAAATGGAAAGCCGCCTAGTCCATTGGAGTTGGGTGGCTTATAAATTCAAATAAATAAAAATAAAATAAAATAAATAAACACCCAATGAGAAACTCTACTTGGGAACTGTTATCAAATGTTGCAGGGTGGAGTGCTCTTTTCTTAAAATTCAGCTGGCCAGCCATACCCATTTTCAAGTTGGTCTATTCCTTTCTGCCCTTCATTCACTCCCTTTCACAGACACTCAGTATTTTATAGGCAACCCTCACTGGCTTCTCAGGCTTTTCTTCCCCCAGTGAAGAGTGTTTCCTTAACCTGATACACATGCACGCACACTTTTGCAAATACTAGGTTTCCCACAAATATACTTACTTTCTCGTGCTTGTTATCCATATATTGTACAACTGACACTTTATGGGAAATGAACTGAAGAATTTTGAATTGAAGAGAAGGAGACAAAAGAGAAAGAAGAAAATGAAAAAGCAAGGTTGAGGAACACAAACCACCAGGAAGCAAGGAAAAGGAAATGAATTCATAAGCATTAAGCACTCACATAAGAACAACAATCAGGACTTGTGGTCCAAGATACTCACTGGAGTTGAGGGATGGGATTGGGTTCTTGATATAGGCAGAGAATTTGGCAAAGATATCAAGGCCAGCTGTGTTAGATTCAGGGTTACGAGCAGCCAGCTTTGGATACCTAAGGAAGAAGCAAAAAACAATCCATAGAGTTTGATAATCCTGAATGAAATTCCTTCTGTATCCAAAAATCCACTTTGACAATCAGCTCTATGGCTTTGTTTAGTTCATACTTAGGAGGGCACAGAACCTCTTCCAGAAATTCTTCAATCTTGTTAGTGTCCGTATGGACCTCAGTCCCATACATCAGGAATGGGAGCTGGCCTCCAGGACAGAGCTTCTGCACAGCCTCAGTCCTCCTACAAAGAGGAAGAAAATGTAAGTAAGTAATGAAAACCAGCTAATTTAATTGAAATTGGATACGCACGTGAGTTTGACCAGACCTCCCAACCTACTTCTTTCCACATGTTCCCAGAGCTGAATGGGACCTAGCTGGGAATTTTGAGAGTTGAGGTCCAGAGTGGAATGGAGAAGGAAGGTTAGTCAGGACAACAGGACAGGATTAGTGTTGTCTCACTTACCTTTTGGTGTCCACTGTGGTGACATTGAAGGTCACTCCCTTGAGCCAGAGAACCATGAAGAGTCGCTGGGAGAAGGGGCAATTCCCAATTTTGGCACCATCGCTGCCAGCCTGCAAAAGCCCAATCCGAACATGGAGGCTTAGGTACAACCATCAAACCCCAGCTCACAGTTCAGCAGAAATCATTCTACATCACATTTGGCTGGAAATGGTAGCAAGAGGAATAACATCATTTCATTTCTCCAAGTACAGTAATGACCATGCCTCGGTTCCTGTAAGGGTGGAGCAAAGTCCAACTCTGCAATCCCTGCTTACACCACTAGGTGCTGCCCTTTCACAGAAATATGCTAAAATACACAATCTCGTTATATTCCTGGAATTGCTTTCTACCAGGAAAACCCAAAGAGCAATAAATTGAAAACTGAAGCCACTTCTTCTCTCTCAGCCCCACTGCCTCTTACACACATACACCCAGCCTTTCCTGCATCCCTTCTTTTTATTTTTACCCCCACCCTACTTGTTTCTTCCAAAATGCTTGGGATTTCCACCAATTCTACCATCACCTTCTTTGAGGACACCTTTTTCCTTCTAAAAAAATCTTGGCTTCTTGTCACCTGCTTTCTCATTAGACCCAAGTTGCTCCTCCTAAGATCTCTGCCATCGGGGTGGGCAACCTATACTCATGCAGGCCTAACTCGTAATGGCATGTGGGAAAGTCCTCAGGAGACTGGGCGAGGAGACACTGCCAAGGGAATGGTCAGATAAGAGACAACATAGCCCACAGCCGGATAGCGGGCGAGGCAAGAGGCTCAGAAGGGACCCTCCCTAGTTTCTCAGGCTGTAAAGGGGACAGCAGGAGAATTGTACTTTTACTTTCAGACTTGCAAGATTCTGTCAATGTAGCTTTACAATAAAGAAGAATTAGCTCATCTCGTTGTGATTCCTATCTGGTTTAGCTGGCAAGGCAGACCTAATTCCTCTTTTTTTTTTCCCCTACAACCCATTGAGGCTTCCCTGACCACAAGTTCAGAAAAGCAGCAGCAGAGTTTCCCATCTTTTAGAGGCAGGAAACTCACAGAGGCTATAGTTTAAGCCCAATATCAGCATAATGTTATTTTTAAACGGAGACTTTCCAAAACTCCTCCCCAAAACCCCAGAGGGATAAAACTAACATCTGCCCTGGCACAAATACGTAACATGGCTCCACCTATTTTGTATTACTACCACTTACCCCCAAATACCATTTTAATGTATCCTCCAACCAGAGAGAAGTTGGCCAGCCATTTTAAAATCTTCCCTCAAACCCACCTGTTGTGTGAAGTCTCTGTTTAATTCCTTTGACCCCCAATTGCCTCTCCATTTCCAAATGCACTATAAATTCCTTGGACTAAAACAAATTTTCTTGTTCTTTGCCCATGCCATAAAGTGCCATATTCTAGGGCTGTGTACCACTTCGGAAATACTTTGGAAGCATGCAAAAGTGCGAAATGGCATCTGTCTGCAATGCTTTAAAGCCACCTTGGCTTTTTGGGGGGGGGGGGGGGGGGTGTTTGCCCTCTGCAGGTGTCCCATAATTCCAAGCAATGGTGGGACTGTACGTGCTCCAAAGCATTTTTCTAGAACTGAAGTCGAAGCACTGAATCCAGAGTCCATATTGCAGTGAATAAATAAAAATATTCCAGTTACCGATGAATCACAGTCTTAAAATAAATGGGCAGTGAGAAGACCATTAAAGAAACTTATAAGTAGGTAGGGGGGAAAAGCAGTATTGAAGTGATGGTTCAATTTAGAGAGCGGAAAGGATGCCTTAGAACAGTGTTGTCCAAACTTGGCCACTTTAAGATGAGTGGACTTCAACTCCCAG